TTCACCTGCACCCTATAAAAAAAGTCGGGTTTTTCCCGTAAATGTTGCATATTCGCGGAATTTATAACCTTAAATCATGGAGATTATTTGGCTTGTTTGGATTTTGTTGATCATGTTGCAGATTCACGGAGTTTTCGCAAAAAATATGGAATAATAATGGAAATATTCGGATAAAATTTCTTACAGGGGGCAGACATGAATCATCCGAAAGAAACGGATTGAAGTTGTGATGGATTGAAATAAGTAATTTATTCACTACAAAAATTAATAGGAATTAATCACCCGAAAAAATGGAATGGAGTTGAGATGGATGAAAATAAGACATTTATCACTTCCAAGCGTGAATCATCCTGAAGAAATGGAATTGGTATTGTGACGAATGAAAACAAGGTATTTATTTATTTCTTCCAAGTATCAATAACCCCGAGGAGTTGGAATTGGTGCTGAGATGGATGAAATAAGACATTTATTTCTCCGGCATGAATCACCAAGTATGAGATATTTAAATTTAATATTAAGCGAAAATTAGAACAATAAATTAATGCAAATTATTAAGTACAATTATTTATAAATTATAAATTATTTAATAATTATTAAATTTTTGTGCCAAAAATTTTTAATTTTATTAGTAAAATGGTTATCTCGGAAATTTAAATAGCATTAAATTTTGATAAAATAAAAAAACGTTTTTGTAACTTTGTTCTCTCTATCCTTTATATCTTTACAAAAAACACTATATTGCTGTACTTGCTGGTTTTTAAGATGTCCCACATTGAATTACTATATATATATGTATAATATATATTACATCATCAGAAACTTATTGCTTCTTATTCAATGTGTTGTTATACCTTTTTTAAAGTTCCACTAGAAGCTTTTGAGTTACGCATAACTTTGCTTAAATTTTAGAGCATTAATATGATAAAATGGTAATAAAATAGCTGATTCTATGGGTTCTTACTTTTCTAAAAGCTATTGGGCATTTCTACTCAAATTTCGAGAAAACTTCCATTTATTGTGTATATATTCGTTATAACTATTAGACTTATCATAACCTAATACATCGATTTTATTCTAATTTTCTTAATCTAAAAATGAAAATAACAAAGTTTTAGTAATTTTATAGCTCTGGTTTAACAAATTTGATTGGTTTTTGAGTTTAATATTATTGATTAAAATAGGACATGTATTTGGATATCCCAAATAAAGTAGAAATCCTGATTTCCAAACCCAAACTATGTAGTAATAACATAATTCAAAACAAAAATATTATATGGTTTGGATCGCAACCCTATTTATTATCGGCAGAAGGCATGGGAACGTCGCTTAAATCATCTTGCTTAACTGCCATTATTGAATAAGTGTCTTTTTTTTTTAAGCAAATAATGTCAAGATAATAATCATAAAGATAATTCTTCATGTTATTAAAGTAATGACCACAGAATGATCAAAGGATACACACAGCTCCGGTAAATCCTAACAAGAGTAACCCAGTTATAACATTACGAACCATGAACGGTCTTCTTGCGCGCTGAAGCGCCGGAGTTTGACTATATCCTTTAGCTTGATGATACTGTGAAACTGGAGGTAATACCATATCTGAAAGAAAGACAGACGTTTTATATTATAATCTAGATTAATAGATTGAATTTTTCACAAGCTAACATAAGATATGTCAAATAACTATTTTACCTAAAGTGTTTTTGTTAACATCTGGGAATTTTTATCGTACGACTTGAACATCAGTCATAAGATTTGGCGATACAGATAATCTATTGGATTCTCATTGGGGTCTACGTCAAATTATATTTCGTTATACGTATTGCGTAAAATATATCAGATATATATATATATGTATATATGTATATATATGTATAATAAATTTTTCTTCCTAAAACCATCGAATTATCACCGAATTAGAGTACGTATTTACAGTATTTTACAAACTCATAATTAAACCTTGTAATCTGTTCTGGTCAGAATGAGCAGTGAAAATTAGTTGAATCTACCATTGTAAAAGGTACTTTTAATAATGCTATTTAATCGATAATCGATTATTTTCGGGATGAAGAAATTTTGGTCTCGAAAATTTTAACACATTAACGATTTAATATTTACGATTAACAATTTTTTTTTTTGTTGATATATGCGTAGGTACGTTGTTTACGTAGCAAAAATGTCCAGAAATTTCCGACTATTGTATAATGCTAGAAATTTCTAGACAATCTGTTATTAAGATAACAGATAAATGATTTAAATTTAACCAATCAAATACTATAAAGGGTTCACTGTATGATAATCGTTACTTGATTTAATTAAATCATGAGATCACATTATTACCTATTTTAGTTAGTCAAATCAAGTTAGAGAAGAATAAAAGGTATAAAAGTTTAAAAAAAAAAAAAACTAGTTCTTTTCTATCACATTCTTTTACAAAAAATGAGCTCTGAAGTAGCAGAGAAAAGTATGTAAATTTCCAAAAATAAATATCTCAATATAATTTGTAATAACTTGTAATATTATACATTGCTTACTAATATTTGATAATAACCTTTTTTAAAGGGTCAACAGATTCTACAGTCACAAAGGACGCTTCAGTACCTCAAACACAATCTCAATCGTCGACCTTCCTAGATCAAAGTCGCGTCCGGTAAACAAATGATTTTCGTTTAAGGTATTGTATGTAAATTAAGGCTTTCTTTTTTTAACTATAACGCAATAATAATAATATTATAGACACGAGTGGTATCAAAATGAAAACTTTGTTGTTATCAGTATTTTTATAAAGAACGTGAAGAAAGAAACTGTTGATGTTTATTTTGCGGATCGTTCGGTTTGTTTATTGTTTTAGAATTTAAAAGAAAAAAAAGCAATATGAGATTGATATAATTGGTTTTAACGCGTATTATTAAAATTATTTAGGTATCAGTTACTGTCAAGTTACCTACTGGATCTGATTATTCCTTAGAGATTGATCCATTAGCTCATGAAATATTACCTAAGGAATGTAAATATGAAGTATTATCCACTAAAATTGAAGTTAAGCTTAAAAAGGACAAAGCTGGAATTAAGTGGGGGGTTCTTGAGGGTGATGATACTCTTGCTGGATCTTTTTCAACATCTGATGGTAATTAAACATATTTTTAAACATATTTAAAAATAATATCAACAAATCAATAGATGAAACAAAAAATTGGTGTCACGTTCTTATTAATAAGCTATGTTTTTTTTTTTTAGGCAAGTTAACTTATCCTTCATCGGCACGTAACGCGAAAAATTGGGACAAATTAGAGAAAGAAATTAGTAAAGATCAAGAAAAACCGGAAGGTGAAGCCGCATTGAATTCATTGTTTCAGCAACTTTATAGGGATGCGGATGATGATACCAAGCGAGCAATGTTAAAAAGTTATACAGAGAGTAGTGGTACTTGTCTCAGTACAAATTGGTCAGAAGTTAGTAAGGGTAAGGTGGAAACAAAACCTCCAGAAGGAATGATCGCGAAAAAGGTAATTTAATTTCTTCTTTGTGCAACATTATATAATAGTTTGGTTAACTCCTCTTTCGTTTTTTTTTAGTGGGATGCCTAAGGCTTATGTGAGCAGTGTTGGAAATCATATGTTCACGGTGTTCACAGTGTACATAAATTTTTTAAAAAATCCCAATTTTTTTATTTTATGTTCACATTTGTGAACATAAATAATTTTTATCTAATTAATAAAATTTTATTTGTGATCATTATTTTTTTTAATGTGAACATAAAAAAAAAAAAATCATCATATTGTCTTTGAATTTCCAACACTGTGTGTGAGATCACATGACTCCAGAAGATAGTAGATAGTCAATTGACTATCCTTCAACAATCACAAAAATGAATTATGATAAAAATAACCATTTTTACGTAGTTAATTTTTGAACCGGAATATCCGGATAGATATTCTAATCCGGTTATATCTTATATATATTTTATTTGTTTATTATTGTGAAATTTTAATAAATTAAATATATACATAATTGAACACTATACAAACTGGCAATACTTTTGGTATATGAAATTCATATCCAAACTTGCATTATATATTTGCGTGAAAATTTTTTCATAAGTTATCTTTTTTGATGTCGATATCGAAATATATTGCGAGTTTAAAAAGGTACTACTACTATTTTCATATGCGATCGTCTAATCACGTTCTCTTCAATTTAATTTCGAATTTAAAATTTCGGTACAACTAATTTAGGATTATCAGCCGAGTTGAAGTTCAGCAAGTGCGTTTCTCTCATTTTAAGTGCAATAATAAAATATTTAGTAATCAAACTTTTGAATATTCTACAATGTATAAATTTCGATTTTTTTTTATCTTTACAATTTTTATTACATTTTGTAATAGAATTTATAATATATGTGTGTGTGTATGAAAAAAAAATATAATATGTATAATAAAAAGAAAAAATAATGATATAGTCTGTTGTCTATTCTGTACAACAAAAACTTGAAAAGACTAGGGAGGAAATGACAAAATGTTTTTTTTTTTTTTTTTTTTAAAGAAATATACATTCTATCTATTTGTACACAAAAAAAAAAAAAACATACATTCTAAATGAAGAGCGAAATGCTAAAATTAGTACAATGAATTTTTTTTTTTTTTTGAAGTGAAAAAGTGTAGTTGTTTTATACAAATGGATTAATGAGAATTTTTTTTTTTTTAAACGCGCACAAGTTGTATAAATGGAATCACCTTTTGAACTTTCTTCTACTTGAGATCGAAAAATGTGTAACCGATTCAGTAGAATGGAAGTGCAGATGTGAAATTCCTGAACATCAAGTAATGGAAAGTGAAAATGGTCATGCATCGATCGGATGACCGGAAACTGAGAATAACAGAATTTCTCATGATCCGATCGAGACCAAACGTATCAGCAGTACATTACTGATGCTCATTAAATTATATATACAATATAAAAGGGTAGTTAGTTCGTAATGGAAAATCCAATAAACCGATTTACTATTGAATACAACAGCATATCGTGAATTTGTCATTCACATTGTTTTGATTTGATACATTGTCTGTAGAGGTGTATGTAGAGGCGTAAACCACATTTGAAAGTGAACGATTATTATTTCGGGAAAAAATTGGCCAATTCGAATTTTTTTGAGCATCATGACGTGAATTTAATGGAGAATCTGAAGCACCTGTCGTGCTAAGAACTTCATTAGATTTAAACCAGTCCTCCGTTTCAGGTCCATCAGGTAAATTTGGGATTTGTCTTAAATAAGTTACCGATGATCGATGGTGCATGGTCCTAGCTGCTGGAACCGCAGTAATTGGAGAACTTTTACGACTATCGTATGAAACTAGATAATTTTTTTTTTTTAAAAAAAAAAATATATAATTTTTAAATTTACATAAATTATTTTAATAATAAAAAACGGATTGAAATAAGAAAAGCTTACCAATAACCCCAGAGTCACTAGAGCTATTGTGTTTTAATGAACGGATATTATTACCTGAATTCTTATGTTTTAATGAATGAGTATCATTATTGTGATTTTCATGGTGCTCTTGCCATTGTTTCTTATTTTGTTCGAGATAAGGTACGCAAAATTTCATTTCTATTCATGTAATCATGTAATAAAAAAAATAAATATATATTATATATATATATTGGAAATATATATTTAAAACATATAAATAGAATATAAATAAAATCATACCGTGTACCAAATCACCCACGCACTTAAACAATGGCAGCGCACAATAGTCAATGAACTTTATCTGAGATTCTGATTGAGTAATATCTCCATGTCTATTATTCATTGGACCAATGGGGAGGCCGAGTTTTCTTTCCAAATCACCTTGACATTTGAATTCGTCAAGTAGAACGTTCGACCAACTAGCAGCAATATGGTAAGGTCTAGCCTAAAGAAAAAAAAAAATAAAATAAATATTTTTGCTTATTAGTTCTTATTGGTTTGCATATTATTTTTTTTCAATAATTTTCCATACAAAATAATATAATTTAAATGATGATAGACATACTACATTGCTAATGTCAGCGCATTTTATTAACGCGCCGATCATAGTATTCCGAATCTTTTCTTGCATAGGTTTATCAAGAAATTTTGTTTCGAGAGACTCAAATTTTTTTGTTTCCTCTTTTATTTTATTAACGTAATCATTATGTAAATACATGTCGGTAGCAAGTATTGCACTCACTATGACTTTACGAAATTCTAATTTGAAAATTAAAAATAATTATTTATTATAGTTTATTATAGAGAGGAATTTCAAGGGAAAAAAAAAATTTTTTTTACCATGATATTTTTTATTATATATGGAACCATTATTATTATCATAAATTTTAAAGCCATATTTTTGCATCAAGTTAAATAAAGTCATGACATGGAAGTTTTCCAATACGGATTTGTCATTATATACCTGAGCCATAGGAGCTTGTGAATGAATCTATATAAGATATATAAGGCAAATATTAAATATATAATTATAAAAAGCAGATTAATTAATAAATAAATAAATAAAGAAAGGAAAATTACATACCAAGAAATCATTGTTAACACCCGGGTGACCGACATCGTGTCCAATGGTAGCCAATAATAAAGCGAATGCGTCGATAACAGTTAGTTGATCATTAGGGCGGCAACGTTGCTGATTAGAATTAATACTTCGTCTCTTTGAAGAAAAAAAAGGAGGTAGGAGACCAATTTTACATAAAAATAGAAACATTGCTTGTAAAACATCGACAGCATGAGTAAAATTATGGTAGGGATTCGTATCATAGTAAGATTGACGAATTGCCACAAGGAGTCGATGTAATTGATCTAAATAAAGAAATAAAGTATGAAAAGAATTAAATATAAAAAAAAAATATATATAATAATATAATGATTAAAAATATAAAAGTATACTGTAAATAATACCTGTTTTCACATTTAATTCTTTGAGTTCATCAAGAGACATTACATGATCAAATATGATAAAGACGCATTTTAACAACTCATCGTCATCTAGTGATAGAGGATTAAAATCCCATTCAGATAATTTATTTTTAAGAACATTTCTTCGCTCTAATTCAGAAGCCTGGCTCAATCTAATAAAATTAATTACAAGAAAATAAAAATAAATAAAAAAAATAAAATAAAAATAAAACTAACGTAAAAAATAAATAATAAATTAAATAATTAAAATACCTTGGGGAAAAAGGTATATTCATCATAGATTCAGGAGGAGTATAATATTCAGTGATAGCTCTTGCTAGCCTAGGTAAAATTAATGGTATATAATATAAGATAAAATGCCAAATATCCATATCCAAATATATCGACAATATATATATATATTTTAGAGGCATACCAATTATCTCTAATATAAAATTCTTCAAGCCTCTGCTCGAAAGAGAAACTACGCCGTATTGCAGGTCTTCGAAAATAATCCATTGTAGCTGGAGTTATTGGTGACCTGTTACCCGAAATAACAAACCTATGTGCATTCTAATAATAATAATAATATAAAAAAAAATTTTTTTTATTTAAGTATAAAGTAGATAGCAAGAATTAAAAAATCATTAAAAAATGAAAATACCAAAAATATAGTCTTTGCAACTTCAGGTCTAATAGGTTTTATTAGATAATCTGAAGCACCTTTATTTATACAATCAAGAATTACATCAAAAGAATCTCTCCATGAGCATACTAAAAAAAAAAAGAAAGTAAACATATATCAATATAGATACAGTATAACACATAAACATATGTACTAGTATTAAGTAAGATAAATATAAACATACCTATCGGAATGACTTGTTCCAACAATCCTTTGGAAATTTCCCTTGATACATAATTTAAAAACTCTAGACCATATAAAGTGTCTCTTGTTGTTGTAAACTCTTCGAGGTGTATAGAATGCATCGAATCAGGTACAATAAATGAATTCTTTCGTGCATATAAATCACGACTAACACCTTCGGTGTGATCAATGTCTATTAATAATATCGTAGGAGGACATCCTACAGATCTATCTTTTAATACTGATAGTGCTTTTCTACCTGACGGAACAGTTGTAACTTTTTTTTTTAAAAAAAAAAGGCGAATTCATAAAAAATACATAAAAAATACATAAAAAATAGATTAATTATAATGAAGAAACTAAATTCAGAATTTAGAAACTTTAATAACCAATTAAATTCAGAATTCAGGAACATAACAAGTATCTTTTAAAAAATCACTTTGAATTACTAAATTAAAAAAAAAAAAAAAAAAAAAAATAGAACAGAAAAAAATAAACATACCTTCAGAGAAAATGGATAAAAAAATTTTAACAATGTCATCAATATTTTGTTTTTTGCTCTCGCAAATGCACCCGTCATCGCAAGCAGCTAAAAATGAAAGATTTAAACTTGTAGAATCCTCAGAATCGGAAAAGTGAGAAGCTTGGTGATAAGTTCTTTCACTTGAAGAACGATCAACTATGAGAACAGAGTAACGACTTGGCTCCATATAAAGTGGAGACAAAGGTGACAGAACGGAATCTGTCGGGGTGGTTGGAACAAAATTGGGAGCCAGCGGAAAAAAATTTTAAAGGGAAACAAATGGTTGATAATTTGATTATTTGATAATTTGATAAATTGTATAAAGTTTTTTTTTTTTATCTAAGGTTAACAAAAATTGACGATATAAAAATGGAACATATGCAAAAATTCTATTTACAAAAGGTTTTGCAATAGTACTCTATTTAGGCAAGTTCGTAAGAAACTAGAAGGTGTATGGTGCTTTTTTTGTGCGGGTATATGCGTTACAAGTATGCAATAAGAACAGATAAAGGGTAAAATAACAACCTAAAATATATAACGATAATATTATTAATAGCTTTTAAAAAAAAAAAAAAAATTAGATTTAGAAATTTTACGTAGAACATTTATGTAGAACATAAAAGGAACAAATAACGTCATCTACACAAAGAAAACCAAGTTAATAAAAAAAAAAATCCAAAAAAAATACGTATGTACGTATGTAAATAAAATGATAATATTTTTTTTTAAACGCATACTTTAAAACCAAAAACACATGTTTAACGATCTTTATTCTTTTTTGGATAAAGAATGACAATAGATTAAACACGAAATTGACGCTAGTACAATTGGCGTAAGCCTAAATAGAGTGATTTGTACAGTATGTATAATGTTTATTATAGTGTAATAGAGTAACCGAGTACCATATCGATATCTGATGTTATATATTAATACTATGTGTATACGTACTATATAATGTATATAACAGATAATGTATATAATGTACCACGTACTATATAGATTATTGAGATTATTGAGATTATTGTACTAAGCTAGGCAGAATAAGTACTAACCTACTAACGTTAGTACTGTACTAAATTAACAACATATGCGGTTATTCACCGGTGTACCGGAACACAGTGTAATAGGTAGTTAAGACAAAGAATTCTTCTCACGAGAGATTAATCTTCGGTGACCGGTCAAAATATCCGTGTAAATAGGAAAATGTTACCACGCGACTAATGTAAATCTAAAAGATCGCTAGAAAAAAAAAAGAAACTCTCAATTTTAACTTATGTAGTGAAACTTATATCCGGTTGGTCTTGCTAAAATCGGTACGACGCACAATAATTGTAACACTACATTTTTTAAATGCAAGAACAAACAAAAGAAACGAATCCTGTTTAATTCTTGTCATCTCCACACTTTTTAGATTTTCGTGTATCAAAAACGCGAAAAAAGATTTTAATCGAGGTATAAATCGTCATCAGCCGGTCATTACTAAATCATATATCTCTTTTTTGGTTTTTTTTGCGCCTCAAATCATTACACTTACGTTATTAATTGCGGTCATAACCCTAGGGACACTGTGGAGAAACATGTAATATATATATATATATATATATATATATATTTATATTTATATTTATATATTTATTTATTAGATATATATATATTTATTTATTTATTTATATATTTATACATATTGAGTATATAGTTTTATTTTTCTTATAATAATTTCGTGATATCATCATTTTTGGTTATCATTTTACTGTTAATCATTAAAAATTACTACGTTACTAATAAAAAAAAGATAAGTTTCTCTTGTAAAAATTATTAACAATCTAGTCCTACATTTGTTATAATCATGAGCAAGTAATGTTCTTGTAATATTAATAGAATTACAAATCTGGTAATCTGGGTAATTTAACATTTTTTTTTTCCCATGATCCGAATGGCGGTTATTTAATGAACATCTATATCTACGTATTATCAAAATCTATCAATTCTACGTATATAATTCTTTCTATATCTATATTAATTATTACTGTATATACTTTATATATATATTATAATTAATGCTTACGTACCATTATTTATATGTATTATGCACGTTGTTTTATAATTTAGTATTACCTTTAATTTCATTCACCTGATTAATGTGTTACCTACCTATGTAATTTTTTCTTTGGAAATTTCTCGTTATGCTTGCTTGTTTTTATTACGTACGTACGTACGTATACTGTATATCAGATATCTATCGCTATTAAATTTCTTATCTATATCTCCAATTAAATTTAAATATTTTTACAAATAACTATGTATAAATTTTTTTTATTATGCTTAAAAAAAACCTTAAAAAAATTGAATTCCTTGGTCCTATCGTCGGGCATGTACCCTAAAAAAAATTCAAAATTCTAAAAAAAAAAATTTCTTATATGTTATTATAGTACTTACGTACGTACATACATATCAGATATAGCAAAATTTCTATTAATAGCTATCTACATATTAAATAAAAAAGGTTATTAGTGATTATCATAGTATATAGTGATAAATAGTGATTTTAAAAATTGATTTTATAGTTAGGCAATATTATATAATATATATATATATAATTAATTAAAAAATTGACTAATTTATTATCGTTATCATTTACTACGGAATTCAAGCTTCTTAATTATATATACTATATATATATATATATTATATACAGTATATGGTTATATTTACAGTTAAAAATATTTTATTAAATCAATTAGTCGATTTTGGTCGACTAGATGGCTATCGGTTGCAAAGTACTAGTTATTAGCGGTAATTATCTTTGTTACATCTAATCTACATGCATATTCCTGTATTCAATCATTTCAAGATATATAGCATGAAATATACTGTGTAAAACTTGTATAATCAAAGTCAAATAATATAAACTTTTCTCTTTTGTATTTATAAAATGCCAAGAAGGGAGCAATATTTAAAAATTAAATCAAATTACGTATATCGATATATTAATTATTTTTTTAATTGGTTCACTTAAATGCAGTTATGTAATAACGATAATAATTTTTACCCTTTTTAGTAAAAAAAAAAAAAAAACTTTTATATTAGGCTGTAAATTTTTAAATTAATTTTTTTTCAAAAAATTTTTATATTTAAAAAAAAAAAAAAAAACTTTTTTTATAGATATCTAAAAAAAACCTACCCGGACGGTAAGTAACCCATATTTTTTTTACAGCTGTTTTCATAATCCCTGAAACTCGATAAAAATTAGCTAATTTTCGGTCGATTCAATTAAGTTTGTAATTTCGGCATAAAGTATACGTAAAAAGTTGCTTTTGTATCACATGTAACACATATTCTACAGATCGTTAACATGTTTAGTTTGTATGAAAATTTATAATATATAGCAAGAAATATTAAATATATATATATATATATATATATATATATTTATAATAAACAGGGATTGGAACCGTTATTCGTTTAACCGCATTTAACCGCCTTTAACCGTTCTATTTATATTATACGGTTAAGCGAGTAGGAAATATTATAATCTATTAAAAAACCGTTAAACTGTACGTGGATAAACAAATATGCGCGTGGTTATTTAAACTTTATCAACGTTTAGGAAGTACGTATAATTATATGGATGATGCCAATTAAAACCTGAAGTGAATATTCAAGTTCTTACTGTGGTGAAATGATCATATTTTGAATTACACAATGCTATAATTTTTCAGAGTTAAGTTCATATTCATATTGGCTGATCTGCACGGTCTAATAAAAATATAAAATCCAATGTTATAATTATTTGATTAGATCTGAAGTAAGCTAATTTAAAATTTGACTGAATGATTGATAATTTTGACCGGAATTATAACTCATTGGTTTTTATATATTTATTAGACAGTCGATATGTGTTGCATTAAGAAACTATTTATCGTTATGCTATAAAATTTGATACTCCAAATTTATACTGATTTCCCTAACGATGATTGCATTTAAACTATTAAAAATATACTGTTATCGTTATATGATTGCGGCCAAACGATTAATCGTGGTTAATCGTGTAACTTATAATTAAACGACGCCAATCCCTAATATTATACGTATATAGTTGTCTCAAATTGTTATAAGAATAATTTTATGTCTAACCAAAGCTCCGTCTCTAATTGCAATTCATACAAAATATCTGTTATATTTTTTCATTAAAGATACCTTATGTCGTTCAGGTTTAGTAAACACGGTTTTCCTAAAAGTGATGGAAATTTTTCAATATATTTATATTATTGAAAGTACTTGAGATCCTGATTTATAAAAGTCTACCAATACCTAAGTGTTTAGCAATTTTCAAAATGATAAACCCTCCAATTACTGTATTTGCCAGCGAAAAATACTTTAAAGTCTGTATTCAACCAGAGATACTGTATATGTATGTTGTACACCCGGTTTAAATAGTCCCAATTCATAATCAGGACAGTCCCAGACAAAAAATTTGTAATTTTTCTGATGTGTAAAATTTCTATCTGGGGTAGCCCGATTCTGAATCAGGATGATTCCAAGCTAGGGACGACATGTATATACGTTATGGGTGTTATTAGCTTTATAAAAAGCCCACTTTAGCCATAGATTTAAACCAAAGCCTAACAAAGCTATGCTAAATTAACAACCTGAGCTATAACACAAACTATGGTTTTAAATCACGGCTTAAGCCAGAATAAGAATAGATCCAGTTACAGCTCAAAAGACATTTTTCACAGCTAAAGCTTTAAGCATTAATGTGCATACATATATATATTACGTATAATTATCTGTTATTGTTACGTATATGAGTAAAAATAAAAAACAACTATATTGTACAGTATATATATATACACATGTACTAAAATAACCTATTCAATGAGAAGATATGAAGAGTAACTTACTAGAAAGTGCTGCCAAGGTAAAATGAGACTTCGGATTTTTAATTTTATTATTTATTATTTTATTATATATATACTGTATAATAATAATAATTAAAGTATATACAGTATACATTACATAATTAATCTCTAATAATTAAAATTAAAGTTGGATTATGCCTAAGCTATAATTTAAGCTAAAGTCATGGCTTAATTAGCCTAAGCTGTGGCCTAAATTATAGCTTAATTTATCTAGCTTAACTACGTTTTGGATAATTTAAGCCATATTAATAGCCATAACTTAGAT